AATCTTGATATTTAGCAAGACTTTTTTATTTTCACTTTTTCTTATCTTAATTAAACATATGAGTAAATAAAAATCAATTTTTATTTTCTTCAATACAAATTAATATATAAAAGTGCATCAACTATAATCTTACGGCAAAACCCAACTAATAAAGGTAATCATATGCATATAATTATATATATATATATATATATATATCATTATAGAAATATGAAAATTAAGAAGTCATGCCACTTAAAACGTTCATTTCAGCTATCTGATAAGGTAATTTTATCTTGAGACCCACTCAATAGATGGTTGTGATGAACATTTTGAACGTTAGAACGTTTTGATTTGTCAGACCTTTATATCATTAATTGAGTGTATATATATAATATTATAAATTTTTATAAAATAAAAAATTAATTATTAAATAATATATAAAATTATCTCAATTATTTTTCAAATAACAATTTAGTAGCCGTTAACTCTGAAACTGTATACCTGTGCGTGCCAATGAACTCTTCCCGTTGAGTGACTTGCCGTGTTTCGAGCGCCCAGGCTTCCTTACCCTCGCGATAATCGGCCGTTATCGGCCGTTAATCGCAAGGTCTAGTTAAATACTTAACTTTCAGTGCGGTCATTATTATACTTTCGTCCACAACTACTCCTATGACAAATTCCTCCATATAGAAACAAATATGGAGATTAATGTTTATTACTTAAGATTTAAGAAAAATTAAACAAAAAAACATTTAAATTAACATCGTTATAATAAAATATTACAAGAAAAATTAAAATAGCATCATTTTTTATTTCAGAAGGTGGGATATTTTAAAGTTTGTTTTTTATAACTATTAAAATCTAATAAATTGTAAATAGTGGATAGTAAATAGTTAATAGCGAATAACAGTGGCAATTAGTGAATAATTATTTAATTATATAATAATTAGTAATAATTTTAACGTTAAATGACTAATAACGATATGTATGACTAATAATGATATATTTAAAAGTAATTAAGTATATATTTTTATATTTTTTATTTTAATTAATAATATATTTTACTTCAATAGTCTTTATAAATTACTTTTTAAATTTAATTAAACCACTTAACTAATAAATTTTTTTAACATTTTTTTTATTTTTTTCATTAATTTTCAATTTGAAGATAATGGTTTAAAGTTTAAGTGTGTTTTCAACAATAACAGTTGAATTTCTTCTTCTTCTTTTTGTTTTTCATTTTGCTTCTCCTATGAATTTGTTATTGGTTTTTCTAGGCCAACATAAAAATTCTGTTTTTTTTTTTTCAAAGAGTTAGCAAGTAGTAATTTGGGTGACTTAAAGTAAATTTATTAAGTTAAACTATTTTTAATGAATTATAACTATGGATTTTGATATTAATAAGTATAGATTATTGTTGTTTTTATAATTGATTATGATTATAGGTATAAAAAGTTTTTTATACCTATATTAAGTTATTTTTATAGATAAAATTTTTCTTCTCTTACAATTTTTATAAATATATAGATATATTTAGATTATATACATATAAATTAATAAACTGTAAATATAAACTCTTATACCTACAGAATTATCACTATATATAAAAAA